CTCTGTTTTAATTGGTTTGTTAATTTCTAGAACACTGGGCGTGAAGTCACTCATGTAGAACATCACCTCCCTTTTCCCGGACTGTCGACACGTAATTTGGACGGATTATTTCTTGTTGTCGACAGTCCGGGCATAAACCCTGTGTGTGTGTGTGTAATTAACAGAGATTAACAGTTACGGGTCAGTGAAAGTGCAGGGTGAATTTGTTACCCCTGCTTTGGCTGTGACATAAGTTCACCCAGCACTCCAATCAGGGCCAATCAGAACAGTCTCATGACCACCGGTGAACATATTTTACAAGATAAACTAAGTGATCTATATTCATAAACATGGTGTACATTCGTTCATTTAAAAGGAAATTCTATTTGTCTGTCCTTTCAGAAAAGGCTGCTGAATCATTAATTATCCTAAGTATCCATTCGTCCACGTGATGGATAATTTATTCCGTATTTTGAATATTCGCTGTTGTGTAATTATCATATGATTTTCATTTTCGTCACTTAATCTACTCTGAGCGGATTTTAGAAGTTAAGGCTGTGCAATAATGACATATTTTATGGATAGCAACTTCTTTTATTTCGTGAGAGCGACGTTTCAATTCTTGTACTGTTCTCAAGCTGGACTATAGTGAGTGAGTGAGTTTAGTTTTACGCAGCGTTTAGCAATATTCCAGTAAAATCACGACTGGGGACACCAGAAATGGGCTTCACACATCGTACCCATTTGGGGAATCGAACCCGGGTTTTCGGCGTGACAAACCAACGCTTTTACCTCTAGGCTACCCCACCGCCCCACACAATCCAGTGACTGCGCCACGGGGACACCTATCAACCAAGTCAGAGAGCCTGACCACCTGATCCCTTTAGACGCCCCATCCACTCACTTTCTATGTAAATTGTGTGAGTTGCGGGTGTTACCTGTAAGGTAACTATGGTTACCATTTTGTCAAACACCCGGTGTCATCACTGATAATTTTATTGATCCATTCATATATTCATATACTGCTATTTTACCTTTTACCAAGGTAGGATATGTCCAGGCTGGGGACTGTCATATATGTAGATCTGTATTTGTTGGAACCCCCCTTCGTTGGAATTGTCCTTTGTATATACCTGCCCTCAAGTTCGAAAATATTCCTGGTGGGAAAAACCTATGTCACAATCATTCATTTTTAACGTTGTCCGGTATTGCCATTTGTCGAATGGTAATTATCCTCGATGGGAATTAACCAGGCGAGAAAACATCACAGGTGATAATTTGTTCAAAGTGTTAAACGTCACGGCAGCTTGCTATCTGAGCGAAAACCTCTAATGGCGTCATGTGACACATGGCTCGTGCTAGTGGCACGTGAGCAGGTAGCGCCTCCTGACGACACACTGGCACTTTGATCCATTACAGAAGACATTTCGGTTAGAACGTACATTTTGAAAACATGATACAAGATAATTTTTTACCCTATATACATCGTAGAAGATGTACGATAACTAAAAGTCTAGGATTATGTAAGACTTATTATATTTGCTACATAATTTAATTCATTGCACGACCATTTCAACTAACCCCTGGGGTTTGAATCCTAGCATACACCTTCAAGTTTGTTTTCTGTTATCTTGCTGAATTATGATAAAGTCCTTAATGGTGTCCAAATATAATTACAGTCCTGGCAATATGGCCCAAATCTACGTTCTGTAGCGAGAAAATGACCATTTGCATGCGACGCATAGAGATAGCCCTGGTATTTTATTACTTTCAACCCTTTTAAGACGTTTAAACAGGAAACGCTTGCAATTCCCTATGGAAAGATAACTGAATGCGTTAACTTCACAATTTCATGTGCTCATTTTTAATATTTTGAATCCTCTTCTAGTCAATAAATGTGTCGGCGTATTCGTTTCTCAGTCGCTCCGTGATGTTGAGATATAGGAATCCATATTTCTCCTTCGTCACTGTGGCGGAATGCAGATATCATACACTTTGTTTGTTTGTTTGTTGTTTTACGCCGCACTCAGCAATATTCCAGCTGTATGGCGGAGGTCTGTAAATAATCAAGTCTGGACCAGACAATCCAGTGATCAACAGCATGAGCATCGATCTACCCAATTGGGATACGATGACATTTGTCAACCACGTCAGCGAGCCTGACCACCCAATCTGTTAGTCGTCTCTTACGACAAGCATGAGTTGTTGACGATTTACTGTAACTCGGATCTGCACGGTTGAGATATGAAACAAACAACAATTTGCTTCCTTAATTGTATGCCTTTACACCAATCTAAACCTTGAAAGCGTAATTTTGAGTCTGACAAGTATTTTATCAAATTGTTTGCACGAGGATGTATGTCCTTGTTATTACAACCACACGCACGCACATTCACTAAAGTATACACACCCACACAGAGACATTGACACAGAGAGAAACACAGACACACACACAGACACACGCACGCGTAACTATGAACAATTTCTCTTTAACTTTGACTTCAATAACCTGGTTTGTAAAACCTACGTTATTAAGCACAGACAGTGAAACTTAAGTTGAATTTTTTAATAAAATTTGAAACAAAAATATACATGCTAGTTAAGAGTTAAAATAAACATTAGGTTAAAAGTTTACATCATCTAGGTGAATTGCATGTATATTTTTGTTTCAAATTTTATTAAAGGTTTTCAGCTTAAGCATCAACAATAACCTAAGTTGTACAAACAGTAGTTACAAGCACAGCCCAATGTGACATTTTGATTAATCTTATCCTAATGTACTACAAAAGAAGAGATAACAACAACACGGACTTTGGACAATACACTGTATATTTATTAACACCGAACGGTCATACAATGAACAAAACAGTAACAAGCGCGATTTATCATGAGCAGTACCATCAATATATACTGAGGGAAACAAATAAGGGAACACTATTCATTCAATTTATTTATTTATTTATTTATTTATTTTAATTTTTTTTTTATTTATTTTTTTTATTTTATTTTTTATAAATTTATTTATTTATTTATTCTATGCCTTTATCTATTCTCAGAATGCAATGCAAATCATGTGAAGAAACCCGGAAGAGAACAATGGAATACTTGTACTTTCATGTGTTCCCTTATTTGTTTTCTTGAGCATATTATCAATTTACAATTTATGGGTACTATATGTGTAGTTCGAGCTCAGGTAAATTCAACTTTTGTTTGTTGCAGAACAGATGACCATGGTCATAGATGAGTTTATTACACACTGGCAACTACTACTGCTACGGAATAATCCAGTCCGTTACTCTTTGTGATATATACCAATCAACTTGGTGGAATCATAAAACGGCATGACCTCGGTCACCAATCATATGCTGACGATACTCAAGTCCTGGATAGTTTTGAACTTTAACAAGTTGCTGAATCCCTTCAGAAAACAAGTACGTATGTGCATCAGATATAAAATCATGGATGACATGTTGCAAATTGAAACTTAACGATGGACAAACTGAGGCTGTGTTGGTAGGCTCTAGGCAACAGTTTCAGATGTCACCTGAGAATAACTTAAAACTTGTGATAGGTAACTCTGTTATAGATTTCTCACCCCGGGTAAAAACCCTTTGTGTCTATATTGACTCCGAGTCGTCCATGGATTCTCAAGTTGACAATTTGTGCAAGACCTGTTTTTATCATCTCAGATGTATAAGCCAAATTCGTCATATGATATCACTTACTACTACATCATACCACTACGACGCCACTACGACAACAGTAAACACCACGAGTTCCAATATTACTACTACATCATACCACTACGACAACAGTCAACACCACGAGCTCCAATATTCTTACTACAGCACGCCACTACGACGCCACTACGACAACAGTCAACACCACGAGCTCCAATATTATTACTACATCATACCACTACGACGCCACTACGACAACAGTCAACACCACAAGTCCAATATTCTTACTACAACACGCGCAACGACGACTCTACGACAACAGTCAACACCACGAGTCCAATATTCTTACTACAGCACGCCACTACGACGCTACTACGACAGCAGTCAACACCGGGAGTCCAATATTATTATTACAGCACGCCACTACGACGACACTACGACAACAGTCAACACCACAAGTTCCAATATTACTACTACAGCACGCCACTACGACGCTACTACGACAGCAGTCAACACCACAAGTTCCAATATTACTACTACAGCAAGCGCAACGACGCCACTTCGACAACAGTCAACACCACGAGTCCAATAATACTACTACAGCAATCGCAACGACGACACTACGACAACAGTCAACACCACCAGTTCCAATATTACTACTACAGCACGCCACAACGACGCCACTACGACGCCACTACGACAACAGTCAACATCACCAGTTCCAGTATCACTTCTAAAGCACGCACTACGACGACACAACGACAGCAGTCAACGTGACGAGATCCAATATTACCATTACAGCTATCACCAGAACTGCTGCAACCAGACAAGGCACCACTGCCATGATCTCAACCCCCCCGTCAGCGAACACACACACACACACACACACACACACACACACACACACACACACACACACACGCACACACACACACACACGCGCACGCACAGACACGCACGCACAAACACACACACACGCACACACACGCAAGCACGCGCACAGACACACACACACACACGCACGCACACACAAAAAAGACAGACAGACAGACAGACAGACAGACACGCACGCACAGACACACATACAAACTTCGAATAGAAATACTATTTACGTTTGTTAATTCAACTTACTGTTGTGTTAACGTGATCCCTGCCTATTCCTTTTAGCCATCATTTTGCGCGTGTGTCCAACTTTGGATAACATGAATTATTTACATTTGGTAATTCAACTTCAACAAGATGATGTTTGTACATACTTTGACAGCTGTTTCCCCAATAGTGTCAACTGAGTTATGTCCCTTGGATCCAGTTCACGTCCGTGGCCCGGAAACGTGTCCTCTATTAGTCCACTTGTCCACTATTGTTGATTCTTTGGCTTGGCCTTGCAGCTGTGATGGGTATTATAGATGGGGCGACTGTATTAGGGGGACGTCTCGGGCGGCATCGTAGGAGGGTCTTTGTAGTCTCCCACAACGGTCGGTACAGCACCAGAAGGTAGCACGGACGGGCGATGGAGTACGCTCTAGATACGACATGTATAGCAAACACAAGGTAGTCGAGTCCTCTTGAAGTTAGGCTGACACGAAAACTGTTCGCCATGTTTAAAGCTATGAATGTGAGTGCATTACTGATATATAAGATAAATATAAACTTCGTCAGCTTCAGTTTCTCCTGGGTAGAACGACTCCTTGAGCCAAGCGGAGGTCTATGCTTGAGCACCTTGTGGAGGAACCACGCATTTCCAGCTAAAGACCAAACCCCGTACATCAGATGTAGGATCGTGAGCCAGAGTGACGTCAAGTCAAGACATTCGTCATTCTCGGAGCCACCAAATAGCGGACTAAGTCCCAGCGTCAAGCTGACGACCCAGGAGATGATGATGAAAATGTATCCTCTCTTCACAGTTATTATCTGGCTGTACATCGTACTCTTGCAGATGGCCACATACAGATTAAAACTGATCCCTAGCAACAGAAACAGTGACAAGGTCATCCATGTCTGTTTCAGCACCACAACGTAATGTATCGCTACCGTCAAAGGCAGGGCCGAGTGGTTGTTATCATGACTGATGCATGCTAACAACAGCAATATTAGGAAAACCACGTGCTCAACAAAGTGCACCACTTCGTTGTTGAGGAGGAGCAGCCCCGAGAATCCCTTGAGAGTCGGTGTTTGTTTGATGACGACAAGGAGGAAGATATTACCTGCTTCGCACACAGTGATGAAAAGGAGGGCAAGAATACAACCGTTTCCAATACGGCGCCCCAAGAGTGCTTCACAAACATCTGTTGTAACATTCATCATTTTTAGAATCCAACCCGGCCTTCGGCGCGACGAACGGACGCTTTAACCACTAGGCTATGTCACTACACCAAGTACTGTAGAAGATTACAAGGATATATATGAAACCTTGAAATGAAAGTTCTCAGGGTCACATCGGGACCATCACAAAGCACAGGAATGGTGCACGTTTCTTCTGGGAAACCCTGGTCTTCTACGTTCTATGCTGAAATCGTCCGCCATCAGTAAGCGAGTAACTCTGTCGACGGCTGACCTGTGAGATGATTTTTATCGTGCAAAAGAGAAATTAACTGGTGACAGCACTGACTATAGCAGTGAAGACACATTCAATTTGTCAGAAGTCTGTCTTTACAGTCTGGCTTCTCAGATGCAACAAGACGGAAACGGAAACGTGGCTTTGTTGCAGAAGACATGATTTATAATAATAGTGCATATTTATAATGCGCTCGTGAGCATACTCTACTCTTGGCGTTAACATATTATTACCCCGGATTACCCAAGCTGCTTGTGTGATGCTAGAATGTTATAGTCTCATTGCTTATGCCACCGGGTACCCATTTACTGCTGGGTGAACAGAGGCAATTTTGAACAAACTCAAATGCCTAAGGTAAGACCATATGCATCACATTATTCTCAAGAGTCAAGCTGCCAAACACGGTCACCCATCCAAGTAGACTCCGCGCTCAACGTTGCTTAACTTCAACTGATTTGTGACCTGAGCGCCATGAACAGGACCACACACCGCCACTTGATCCCTACTAAACGGAGAAATGGTTTTGACAACTGTGTTGACATTGCTGGGAAGGTTTCGTATCGTTGCGAATGATATATTTCCAGTATCATTCTGTCTAATTTGAAGTGGTAGAACACGATTCCTTGAATACCTCCCTGGCTGTTTGTCCTTCTGGTTGTTTGCGGTATCCTAGAATGGACCATGTAGTATTTGCAACGTCTGCTATTTTTTTCGTTTGTGTATTTCGTAGAGCCGTTTCTACCTCTTTGCGAGCTTCTTCCGATCGCCTTGTGTATTCCTTTTTCTCCCGTACTATTTCTCCTAGTCGCTCCAGTTCGTTTTCCCTATGCTGCTCTTGTTCTATCTGCCGTGCTGTCTTTCTGCCTTCTAGCTATATAGGATAGCCCATGCTTCTCTTCTCCATTCTTCCACACATGCTGCTTCTTGTATTTCTTGCAATCGTTTTCCTCGATCCCTAGCAAATCCGGAATATACTTCTCTGTCTTTTGCAATCTCTGGTACTTCCTGCAGTTGGAATATGGAAGAAGCCTTGGCTATGGTGCTACATTTGGCTGTTCTCCATTCCCACTCTACTGTCTTGCAAGAAGGCAATAGAATACTTGGATCGGCTCCATTTGGATGTAGCTGGATTGGTCTTCTACTCGCAGACAGTATCGTTTTGGCATCGGGATCCTTTGTATAGCAACGTAGTGGACCCAGCTCCACATCAGCATCTGTAGCGGAGAGTATATCTACCCGAAATATTGGACATGCTTGGAAACCAAGAAAATGCAAAAAAGGTAGTACCAATCCTAGTAGTCCTGGCCATTTTTGTGCTCTCGATAAAATTTAGCATGCTCATCCGCGAGTAGTATACCCAATAGCGGAATGGGACTAGGGACTTTGGAAGAACCTGGTCCCGTTCCGCTATTGTGTATACTCCTAATGTACTTTCGAAGGAAGTGATGTTCATCTTCTGCACAATCTAACGCACCAAACGTACATATTCTATTACAGCCGAGAATGCCACACCGTCTGCCAATATTAACCATTAAAGGAAGCTCACATATACGTAATAAACATAAAGGTCTTCTGTATTCTCTTTCTGGCATAGCACATAAATGATATTTAGTTGACAATAGAGATTTCTATTCTATATTATTACATAATTTACTTGAATAATCTCTTTTTTTAGAGTACCAATTTTGTTGATTACAGTCTTTAAGTCTTTGTACAAAGGTATTGAGAAACATGTTATTATCACCTACTTCATGTGTGATCCACTCTAGACATTGCCATAACTAAACAGTCAGCATTGAAACTTTGATGTCCAAGTTATACGATTACATTCATCTAATGATTTACATAATAAATAACATTGTTTTGGATATCCTACGCTACCGATATGGCTGACTAAAAAAACTGCCTCTTGTTGGTTTTGACTCGCCATTTAGTGTAAAGTTGCCTCTGATTCTGAACCCATCTATGGCTAATGATGTACCTGACGGTGTACCTGACAGTTACGTTTCACATGATTGTAAAGGTGTACCTGACAGTTACGTTTCCTCTGATTGTAACTGCGCCTTTGACAGTTACGTTTCCTCTGATTGTAACGGTGCCTCTGACAGTTATTTTTCCTCTGATTGTAACTGCGCCTCTGATAGTTACGTTTCCTCTGATTGTAAAGGTGCCTCTGACAGTTATTTTTCCTCTGATTGTAACTGCGCCTCTGATAGTTACGTTTCCTCTGATTGTAAAGGTGCCTCTGACAGTTACGTTTCCTCTGATTGTAACGGTGCCTCTGATAGTTACGTTTCATATGATTGTAAAGGTGCATCTGATAGTTAAGTTTCATATGATTATAAAGATGACTCTTACAATGAAAGTGCCTCTGACAGTCACGTTTCCTCTGATTGTAACAGTGCCTCTGACAGTCACGTTTCTTCTGATTGGAAAGGTGCCTTTGACAGTTACGTTTCATATGATTGTACCGGTGCCTCTGACAGTTACGTTTCCTCTGAATGTAACACGTTTCATATGATTGTAAAAGTGCCTCTGACAGTCACGTTTCTTCTGATTGTAAAGGTGCCTCTGACAGTTACGTTTCATATGATTGTAAAGGTGCCTCTGACGTTACGTTTCATATGATTGTAAAGGTGCCTCTGACAGTTACGTTTCCTCTGATTGTAAAGGTGCCTCTGACAGTTACGTTTCATATGATTGTACCGGTGCCTCTGACAGTTACGTTTCCTCTGATTGTAACACGTTTCATATGATTGTAAAAGTGCCTCTGACAGTCACGTTTCCTCTGATTGTAAAGGTGCCTCTGACAGTTACGTTTCATATGATTGTAAAGGTACCTCTGACAGTTACGTTTCATATGATTGTAAAGGTGCCTCTGACAGTTACGTTTCATATGATTGTACCGGTGCCTCTGACAGTTACGTTTCCTCTGATTGTCACGGTGCCTCTGACAGTCACATTGCCTCTGATTGTAAAGGTGCCTCTGACAGTTATGTTTCATATGATTGTACCGGGGCTTCTGACAGTTACGTTTCCTCTGATATCGACCCAGTGCTGGTATAAACAGGGAAATTGTTGCTCCTCTGCTCTTTAATGGCATTTCACCTGGGGATAAACTGGACTCGTTTCCTCCTGGGTTCATAGGGATCTTTGGCCTCAAAGCACTTTTGGTGCACTTTACAAAATAAACTAAATTGTTAGCAATAGACACCAGTGTCACAGTACAGTAGCAATAGACACCAGTGTCACAGTACAGTAGCAATAGACACCAGTGTCACAGTACAGTAGCAATAGACACCAGTGTCACAGTACGAGTAGCAATAGACACCAGTGTCACAGTAGACACCAGTGTCACAGCATACGGCAGTAGCAATAGACACCAGTGTCACAGTACAGTAGCAATAGACACCAGTGTCACAGTACAGTAGCAATAGACACCAGTGTCACAGTACAGTAGCAATAGACACCAGTGTCACAGTACAGTAGCATTAGACACCAGTGTCACAGTACAGTAGCAATAGACACCAGTGTCACAGTACAGTACACAGTAGACACCAGTGTCACAGTAGTAGCAGTAGACACCAGTGTCACAGACACCAGTGTCACAGTAGACACCAGTAGCAGTAGCAGTAGACACCAGTGTCACAGTACAGTAGACACCAGTGTCACAGTACAGTAGCAATAGACACCAGTGTCACAGTACAGTAGCAATAGACATAGACAGCACAGTAGCAATACAGTAGCAGTGTCACAGTACAGTAGCAATAGACACCAGTGTCACAGCACAGTAGCAATACAGTAGCAATAGACACCAGTGTCACAGTACAGTAGCAGTAGACACCAGTGTCACAGCACAGTAGCAATAGACACCAGTGTCACAGTACAGTAGCAACACCAGTGTCACACCAGTGTCACAGTACAGTAGCAATAGACACCAGTGTCACAGTACAGTAGCAGTAGACACCAGTGTCACAGTACAGTAGCAATAGACACCAGTGTCACAGTACAGTAGCAGTAGACACCAGTGTCACAGTACAGTAGCAGTAGACACCAGTGTCACAGTACAGTAGCAATAGACACCAGTGTCACAGTACAGTAGCAATAGACACCAGTGTCACAGTACAGTAGCAATAGACACCAGTGTCACAGTACAGTAGCAATAGACACCAGTGTCACAGTACAGTAGCAATAGACACCAGTGTCACAGTACAGTAGCAATAGACACCAGTGTCACAGTACAGTAGCAGTAGACACCAGTGTCACAGTACAGTAGCAATAGACACCAGTGTCACAGTACAGTAGCAATAGACACCAGTGTCACAGTACAGTCAGTAGCAATTGACACCAGTGTCACAGTACAGTAGCAATATACACCAGTGTCACAGTACGGTGTCACAGCACAGTAGCAGACAGACACCAGTGTCACAGTACAGTAGCAGTAGACACCAGTGTCACAGTACAGTAGCAATAGACACCAGTGTCACAGTACAGTAGCAATAGACACCAGTGTCACAGTACAGTAGCAATAGACACCAGTGTCACAGTACAGTAGCAATAGACACCAGTGTCACAGTACAGTAGCAATAGACACCAGTGTCACAGTACAGTAGCAATAGACACCAGTGTCACAGCAAAGTATTACAAAGACTAAATAATTTTGAAGTCTTCAATTCTTATTCCACAAATGGAAGGTCGCTGATGATGACGACGATACTTATTAAGTTAAACTGTATTCAGTTATACAATG